GAGCCGAGCGCCAAACACTTTTTTTTTTTTTTTTTATAAGTGAGCCGAGCGCCAAACACTTACAGGAATTTGTAAAAGCAAATTGAATCCAAAGGGTTCTTTCGTTGAGAAAGTTCCAGAGGTTACAGTAATAGGCGTCTTCAACCTTACAAAAATCATATTTAAATAAAAATAAAAAAAATAACAAAAAATTACTAAGTCCCTAATCAGTCCTCTTATCCTCCTGGATTGATCCTGCATCATCCCAAACGTCCTCCACCACCTCATCCCCTCAGGATGGGGAGTCGACGTGAACAATATCCTCAGGCGTCTGAGCCTAGCTGTCAGAAGCATGGGCAGAGATGTTCCATTCCACTGACATGTGGCAGAAGGAGCAAGAGCAGTGTTCAGAAGCTGAATGTCTGGGACAGGAGGGATGACCCCAGAGGTCTAGGGATGGCAACGGGGGCGGCTTTGGGCGGGTGTACCCTCCCCCGCCCCCATAACCGTTTAAAAACTCTGCCCCTGTCCTCGCCCAAAACCGCAAAAACGGGGGAACTTTCCACCCCATCCCCATAACCGTTTAACATTTTTACCCCCGTGGATACCCGCCCAACCCCGTTTAAGACCATAATTTATTTATTGTTTAAATCGATTTGCTCTTTTTTTTCCCCCCCCTCATCTTCAATTCTTCACCATTACAACTTTCATTTTAATCAAATTCATTTGTTACTTTAATATTGTTATATAGAATACTTAATATATAGTGAGAAATATATAAACTAATGAAATAAGGCTACTTAAGTAGTTTGCCTATCTAAACGGGGCGGGGCGGTGCGGGGTGACCTCCCCCCGCCCCCGCACCAAACCCACGCGGGTTTTAATTACATCAAACCATCCCCGGCCAAATAAGCAAAACGGTCCTCCAAAACTGCCAAAAACGGGGCGGGGTTGGGCGGGTAACCGCGGGGGTGGGTCAAATTGCCATCCCTACAGAGGTCACAATCTCTTTGCACTCCCTGAAGACGAGCTCAGCCTGATTAGGAGTTGGGTCGATATAGCTACCGGGCGGGTCAATCTGAAGATCACAGTCGCAGTCGTTCGCACCATTATAGGAGCTCCTCTACCCTTCAAGGGGGAACGGTCTATAAACCCGTCCTTGTACCCTTCAGCATATCGGGTGGCTTCGGCCCGGGAGAAACGAGCATGCAGAGCCTTAACCCCGCCTCACGCCCAGGAGGGCTGTGCGATCATCCGAGGACTTCTTCTCTAAAGCGGACCTAGTAGCCCGCATGGTCTCCAAGGTGTTTTGGAGATCATCCCTTTCCTTCTAAAGAGCTAAGAGCTTGAGCTCCAACTCCTTCTCTTTGGTTTGTGCCTTCTTTAGGTCTCGGGACACCATCTTGTACCCATTGAAGAAGTTGGGCACCTACTTATCAGCTATCTCTAGGTGCCTCTGTAAGGTAACCATCCCAAACAAGGTCTATATAAAAACACAAGAAAGCTATGATGCCCAATGTGAGCCCAATAGAGTTAAAGCGATAAAAAGAAAGAGAAAAGGTAAATATGAGTCAAGTGACAAGTTACCTCCATAGCAGAGATTGGGAATCGGGTATACATGTCCTTCCGGGACATCTCCCTCTGGACCTTCACATCCTGTGGAGTCCACATATGGGTGTAGTATGAAAGAGCGGTCGGACCACTCTTAAACATGGTGTCGCTGGGGGCAACAACCGATCAGTCCACTCGGACAAATTTAGGAGTCCATGGGATCACTGCCGAAGGGTTAGATGAGGTCCCCTCTGCTCCCCTAGTTGCGCCACTAGAAGTGGGCAACTCTTTTTGTGTGTTGGGTTCAGTCGCCCCAGAAGTCCGAACCCTTTATGCCAAGGGAACGTCATCCAAGTCAGACCCAGAACCCCTCTCCGATAGGGGTCTCTTTCCTTTCTCCTTCGCCAGGGCAGTCTCCTGGACAGTGCAAGGATTCTCAGAGCTAGGAGTAGTGGCAGGGACATCCCTAGGAGGATCCCTCTTCCTTCCGAACAAGGGGATCTGTAGCTCGTACATGTAGAGCCCTAGAAATGATATGTTGTTGAAGGCTTCTGGAGTAAGTAGCTCAGAGGATGAAAGGATGCTGGTCCACACTTTCTCTCAAAGCCTAGCCCTACAAACGCCGTAACTCAAGTCGTCATAAGGGATGCCCAACGAATGACGAACGAAAGAGCTGTAGCGTGGGAGATAAATTTCGCACTTATACTCGCTCTTATGTTTTCTAAATTTAACGTACAAGGGAACAAAACACTTGCCGAAGACGGTTGGGATGGGAAAGTTCCTAGAGGATGGAGTTTGCCAAGCCCCTCTAACCCCTATAATGTCTTTCCTCCAACCCTTCTCAGAGTCAGGCTTGTCCGAATAGATCGACCGTTTGGCAATAGGGAACAGATGGTAGTACATGTCATCCTGCCTAATTTTACAGATCCTATAACACATGAGAAGATCCAGAAGGTCGAGCTCCAAGTCTTTGTCATCATTCATGATCAGAAGGACTGACATAATCCTAAAGAAGTTGAGGTTCACTTGAAGTGGGGAGAGGTTTAATTTGTTAAAGATATAAGATAAGAAAGGGTGCAAAGGGAATCTAATCACGTTCAAATGAAGGGGAGAAAAAAGGATCTCCCCTTGAAGGAGACCCTCACCTGTTCTCACATTGAGTTTCTTGGGGTAACTTCTAATGAAAACATCGACGGGGATTTCTTACTTTGCACAAATAGATTCTAAGTCAATCGCCATGGCAACGGTAAGAGGAACCCTCAAATTTAAAAGAGAAGAAAAGAAAAAAAAAAACCTTTTAAGAAATAAGAGGATGTTGAAACTAACCTTAAAGAGTGGAGTCAACAGAGTCACTCCAAAGAGTTGAGGTCTAAGAAAGGCTCGCCGGAGAAGACTTCCTCGTTGCTAGAGAAAAATGAAATGCTTAAAGAAGAGATGAAGAAGACAGAAGAGAGATCTGAGGGCACGGACCAAGGGTTTTAAAGAAGGCATTCTCGTTGACCAAGGCGTCATAGCAATGATGAAACTTCAATTTTCAAAGCATTGATCTCTGCGCTAACCGTCCGCTTCCCCACGTCATCACATCGAGCTGTCACGTCATGATTGCATCCCCTTGTTAATCTCACCCTAATTAATTAGGGAGAGATTAGGGGGCAGGTGAGCGTACCGAAAACGAACAGGGCCATAAATGGCCCGGTTCAACAGGCCCAAAGGTCATTTGAACCACCTCCAAGCCCAACCTCTTCGGCATTACAAAAGGGGCCTTCATTCACTATGGCCGAATGAAAAGACCCATTGAAGATTGGCCCAGGTTTGAGAGTTTTGGGAGAGGTTTTAGGGCAAATGTACATTTCTATAAATAGAAGTTAGAGAGATGGAAAGGGGGAGATTGTGTGAAGTGTAATAGATTACTTTCCTAATACAGAGAGAAATTTCTTGCACCTTCACCACTATAATTGTTTCAATTTTTTTTTTTTTTTTTTTTTATCACTAGGATCATTTATAATTGCATTAAATAAAAATTTGCGCTGTCAAGTCAATTCTGTTGTATGTTGGTTGATAATGGTTTTTTTTTTTTCAAATGTATCTACTTTTTGTTTAAATTCTAAATATTAGAAAAAAGGATATCATTCAGAGATCTTTTTTTCCTTTTGGAAGATACAGGAGCGAAACAATCAACCTATTGATATTGAAAGACCAAAGGATTATTTCGTATCATTTCTGGGTCCAATGGAATTCATAGGTATAGGAAGAAGCCCTATCAAATAGTGTTATTTTCTTTGGACCACATTTCGATTGTTAAAATTAAGGACCACTGCAACAAAGAGCATTACACCCTTGATCGTGATCCTGTGAATTGCGTGAAAGTAAAATACTTCAAATTCAAGGAACACAGTTCTATAAAACATTCTTGGTGAAAGAAAAAAAATTGTGAATGAAATGGCACACTTGATGATATGAATCACTTGAAAAATAAGTGTATTCGGTCTGTAATGGAAACAACATAAGCTAAAATAAAGTGTGGCGGAAATGCAAATGCTGAGATAGATTTGCAATAAGACAAGAAGATAAAGATGAAGAAACGGTTGACCACCTTCTTTTGCATTGCCTAGTGGCTCGGGATTGCTAGTTTTTTATGTTGGGTTTGTTTGGGGTTCAGTGGGCTTTGCCCAGATCTTCCCGAGGGTTGGTTGAGGCTTAGAGAGGTTGTACATTGGGGGCTAAGCTCGTGAATTCTGGAGGGTCACACCTTTATGCAACTGGTGGTGTTTATAGCTTGACAGAAATAGGAGATCCTTTGATGGAAAGAAGGCTCCTATTGGTGCGTCGAAGTTCTCCATTATTAGCACTCTTTTTTGTTGGGTTCTAGGGAGAAATTGTAAACCGAGGAGATAGTCGATTTTTCGGACTCTTTGAGAGTTTCGAGGCCCTATTTGGTTTTGTGTAGCTTTTGAGGGATTTTTTTTCCCCTTTTGAAGGCTTCTTATTACAATCTTACTCATAAAATAAATAAATAAAATAGGACAAGAAGATAAAATTAGAAATCACCACATTCGGAAGATGGTTGGAGTAGCACAAATTGGAGATAAAATAAGAGAATAACGGTTAAGATGGTTTGGACAGAGAAGACCTTTAACTGCGTCAGTTAGAAAGAGTGGTATAGTCCACATAGAGGATAATACTAGGGGAAGAAGAAGGCCAAAGTAATGGTGGAAAGATTTAGTAAAGAAGGATATGATAGCATGTGGTTTGACTGACGCTATGGCCGATAGAGCGGAATGGGAACATAGGATTCATGTAGCCTACCCCAAGTAGTTAGAAAAAAGGCTTCCTGCGGATTATTGTTTTCTTCTCTTTTAATACAATTTCACTTATACATATATATATATATATATATATATAATTCTATATTCATCTAATATGAAGCCTGGCAAAATAACCTATAATCAGAATATTTAAAATGTATAAACCTGTCAATCATAAGAAAATGCACTCCGACACCATGAGCTTCTTTCTCCTTCTGAAGTTGATAATGCAATGTCTGTAAAGCCAATAAAACAAAAGAATACAGTAAATTAACAATATTCATCTACCTATGTTTACAATAGAATGCTACAAATTATTAAGTGTCATGGAAAGGTTGAAATAACTAGGTTTAGCTATCATTCGAAACTACCTTCCCCAATCCCTTGAGAAAAAAGGTAATATATTATATATTATTGCACTTAATTTTTCTGGCTGTAGATGCCCAAAATAACTGCTGGCTGGTGTGAGATAGTGTTAATGCATCATAGAGAAGTGCTACAATATACAGAACCTTCAAGATCTTTGAATTTGTGATAATCATCAAACGGTTTGGTGTAATTTTCCATTAATGTTCCTTAGGGGTCAAACTTTACTTAAAAATTCTATTTCAGGGGACCTTGTGCAGCACTGTTTCATAGCTTTTGTGGAACAATTAAAAATTCGTTTTCAGTTACTTTGGTAAAAGGTTGTGTTTCACTATATAAACTACCTTGTTTCAGGTTTCACCGATTATTTAATATCAAGTAATAACCTCAGATTGAAACAAGCATGCAAATCATCAAATAAATAAAGCAATAAATAAGTGAACACCAGAATTTATGGGAAAACCCCTCAATCAAGAGTGAAAAAAAAATAATGCAACCAAGTCCAAACCATCATGAAACTATACCAAGTGCATTATATCAATGTGATAAGAGAATAAAAATAATAAAACACTAAATTTAAGTAAATATAAACAATTAAGTTCATCATTTACTGTTTGAGTCAATTTGCTCCCCCTTAAATCATGCTTAACTTTCAAAGCTGAAATTAATCATTTAAGTAATATTAAAGCAAAGCAATTCAAGGTTAAGTTGAGAAGCAAGTATAAAAATAAGTAAATAAAAGATAAGGTAACATGTAGCTGAAATTTGAAACATGCTAAAGTTGACAATTTGTGTTAGCCGAGATATGTTAGCCAAGAATCATTGGATTTGACTTTATTTACGCATATATTTAGGCATAGAATTTGCAGTGATTTTAATTGGTTTCCTTTCCCGTAATATTTAACATGTGCTCTTTTCATATATAAAAACCAGAGCTATGAATGGATGATTATTGCATAGAATTTGCAGTGATTTTAATTGGTTTCCTTTCCTGTAATATTTAACATGTGCTCTTTTCATATATAAAAACCAGAGCTGTGAATGGATGATTATTCTCATTCAAGTCTTTACATATTTCACCTATATTTCTTCTTGGTCTTAGAGCCAGGACATTGCCACAACCTCCAGCAGTCATGCTGCTTATGTGAAGGATACCCAGGTCCATTTTGCAACCAGAACAAGACCACCAACGTGATATCCTAAGATTTTACTATGCCTTTTAATTGTGTTTAGTGACTCTTAATCGTGTTTAGTGATTCTTAATCATGGTTAGTGACTCTTAATCGTGCTTAGTGAATCTTAATCATTATTGGTGACTTTTAATCATGATTAGTTGCTCATAATCATGCTTAGTGACTTTTAATCGTGTTTAGTGAGTTAATTGCTTATATTGGGGCATTAGTGTGATTAAACTTGTTTTTTTTTTTTTTTTTCCCTGATTAAACTTGTTAGTATGGGAGTGTTTTGGAATTTCATGGAAGTTGGTTGGTTAGACACCATATGGCAGCCTTACATGGAATTTAGTTGGCACCTGTTTTGCTCCATACAACTCATAGACAAAATGCTACCCCCTACAAACCCAGGTTCATTTTGCTAAATGGCCTCTCTAACCCACCTCTATCAGAATCAAATATAGAATTAAAATGCAACCCCCCTAGCAATGGCCTCCACCTATAGGGCCCTTGTACAGCATTTCATAGAAAGTGGCAATCCCCCTACATACCTCCTCCTCCTTGCTTAACACCTGGTCAACCCGAATCCTCGCAATGTGGTTACTCCTCCGATCGGCATTAGCAAGCCTATGAAAGAACCTCGTGTTCCAATTACCTTCCTCAAGCCGCAAAACACGAGATTTCTACCACCATGAAACCTCCTCTAAAATGGCAATCTCCGAAATCTCCGCCTGACACTCCTCCCTCCTACGCCTCATTGGCTCATCAAGACCACCCAAACCCTTCAATCTCTGCTATCTCCAAAAGAGCCTTATTCTTCCTCCATAAGCCACGAAGCACGAGATTCCAACCGCCACGAAATCTCCTCCGAATTACCAATCTCTAAAATCTCCACCTGACACTCCTCCCTCCTGCGCCTCATTGGCTCATCAAGTCAACCCAAACCCTTCAAACAATCAACCTCTGCTATCTCTAAAAGAGCCCTGTTCTTCCTCCATTCCAGATTCCTTGTGATGACCGTGTCATTTTTTTTCCAGAGATATTTTTTTTATTATTAATTAATTATTATATTATTATTATTATTTATTTTTATTTCATTTCTTGTTACCTATGGGTTTTGGAGGACCCGAGGTACGGTTTAGTGTCCGAGATTGATTTCTGTTAGCACATATGATATCCACGATTTATGAAATGACTTACCATAATAGCAGAGATTTGACTATGCATATGTTAGCATATATGATAGCCACAGTTTATGGAATGACTTACCATATTAGTAGATATTTGATTATGCCATAGAATATGCTTTAGAATATGTTGTGATTTGATTTAGATTTAGGTTGTGTTTGGGGGAGCTTCCAAACATCAAATGGGCTTTGATAATAAGTCCTTTGTTAAAGTAATTTTATTCGAAGGAATTCAAGACAATAAAGTTGTTTGGTGAGTACATTCCTGAAATGCCTTTTAACTATTTTTTTATTATTATTTTTTTATTTTTTATTCTGAGGTCTTTAAATTATCACCACTGTTGCAAGTTTCAACCTAAAAGACCAAGACAGGAAAAAAAAGTTAATCGAATGATAAATAGAAAAACTAAATGACCACGTAAGAAAACCTCCAACAATTACAGTGAAACATGATAGAAATGTGTAGACCCATTTCAATCTGGAACCCTCCAGTTAATTGATCATTGATTTCATTATAAACACTACTGCAAATAGATCCATTTTCTTTCTCGAAATTCGCCACCTAATGAAGTTTCAGATTTGGAGCCCCCTCTCTTTTTTTTTGATAAGTAAAAATATATTAGAAAAACGTTCAAAAGGGGAACGCGTCCCTAATACACAAAAACAAAAGAGCAAAAGCCAAACCTATGGACCAACAGAGTCCAATAAAACAAAAAAGTCATCGATCGAGGAGCAAGTGCTGCCTCTGACATAACAGAAAAGAGAGCGTAGGATAAAAGACTTAAGGTTTGCAAAAGACGATTCCTTCCCTTCAAAGTTTCTGTTATTTCTCTCTCTCCAAATACACCACCAAACACAATGTGGGACGACCCTCCAAAAATCACGAGCATGACCAGAAACAGGGCATCTTCTCCAAGCATTAATTAATTGGAAAGAGTGCTTAGGCATTACCCACTGAACGCCAAAAATACTGAATATGAGATTCCAGCAATCAGATGCAACAGGACAATGCATAAGAAGATGGACCACGGACTCACCATCATTTTTACAAAGACAGCACCAATTAACAATGGTATTACCTCTCGTGCGCAGATTATCCAATGTTAGAATTTTCCCCAAGTAGCAGTCCAAACAAAGAAGGCAACTCTAAGAGGAGCTTTAGAGCACCAAATACACTTCCAAGGGAAATCATATCCAATAAAATTAGACAAACACAAGAACATGGATCGAACTTCGAATCTACCATGAACAGAGGGAGTCCACAAAATATCATCACAACCTCTGCCGACATCCTTCTGTCTATACAACAGGTCCAAAAAGACGCAAACTTCAACTATCTCCCAATCCTGAAAGGAACGCCTAAAACGCACATCCCACGTAACTCCACTGTTATCAAGATGATAACAGTCAATTACATAAGCATGCTTATTCTCGGCAATGCTAAAGAGACGAAGAAAAGAAAGAGACAACAACTAATCACCACACCATAAGTCTTCCCAAAATCTAACATACATACCATTACAAACCTTGAACCGAATTTGGGTGGAAAACACATCCCAACCTTTCCGAATGAACTTCCAAACGCCAACGCCCCCGGTAATAGAAACAAGACGAGAGGACCAACCTCCACTCTCTTCCCCAAAACAACACGAGATAACTCTTCTCCATTGTCGATGACGTTTTTTACCGAATCTCCATAACCACTTCCCCAATAAGGCTCTATTGAAAGGAACTAACTTCCGGATACCTAAACCGCCAAACTTCAACGGTTTGCAAACCTACTCCCAATTAACAAGATGATACTTGAACTCCTCTCCTTTTCCACCCCCAAGAAAGTCTCTCTGAATTTTTTCAATTCGTTCGGCAACAGAACACGGGATCTGAAACAAAAATAAGAAATATGTGGGAAGGGACGAGAGGGTGCTCTTAATAAGATTGACCTTCCCCCCTTTCGAAAGATACTGTTTTTTCCATCCCGCCAATCTTTTTTCATCCCTGTTAATCACCGGATCCCAAATCCCTACTATCCTGGAGGAGATTCCCAAAGGTAAGCCCAGATAAGGGAGTGGAAAGGCACCCACTCCACATCCAAGAACAGTAGCTAAAGTGGAAATATTAGAGACCTCCCCCACTGGGACAAGCACACTCTTTCCAACATTAATCTTAAGACCAGACACTGCTTGGAAGCATGTAAGAATGCACCTCAAATACCTGAGTTAGGAAACATCAGCATCACAGAAAACCAGGGTATCATCTGCAAACAACAAATGGGATATCTTAATCTGGTTAGCAATATCTCTGCCAACAGTGAACCCCCTTATGTAACCCAGATTCTCTGCCTTTTTCATTAATTTACTCAATCCCTCCATGACAATAAGAAAAAGAAAAGACGACAAAGGATCTCCTTGTCTCAAACCACGCGAATTCGGAAAAAAACGGGCAGGAGAGCCGTTCACAAGCACAGAGAACATAACTGATGAGATGCAAGATTCAATCCATTTTATCCATCGA